AATTCTCTGGCTGCTTGGTTTCCATGATATGTCCTCTTAATTCTGAGTTCAGCTGATCACATCTAGATAACATAAATAATCTGTTGTGTTTGCTTTATCCTCTTATTCTTCTGAACTAAATTCTAAAATATTTCTTTTTGATGAATATATATAATTTTGCATGTCAGATAAATATAACTTACTGTTATTACTTATTAGCTATATGCGATCACGGGATATTTTCTAAAAGGGAGAGGCTTGCAATTTTGCTAAGTTGGTATGAAATAGAAACTACAGAAAGAGTATGTGTTTTTAAAGTTGTTGGTAATTTTCAAGTGACTTTCTTTACCCAAGGGACTTTACTTCACTACTATTGTTATAGGTAGGACCCTCTGGTTCTAATGGTATGTATCTCTAATCACATGTGCACGAAATACCTCTATGCTCTATATAATACATATCTTAAAATGGCAATCAAATGTTCGACATCATCTCTCAGGGGAAAGGAAGAACACAATTCTCTTACTGGAAAGTGGGTGATACTATTCTAATTAGACACATTTAAAGTTCTCTAAATCACTTTCTGACTGCACCTCATTCTCATGTCACCTGTCGATTCATATTTTATGTAGCCTGACCACACTTCCCCCAAGGCCCTCAAAGTGTCTGCAATTGATTTCCACCTAGTTAACAATAGCATTTTTTATAAGATACTGTCTGAGAAACTCACTGAGTTCCATCTTGACCCCTAACTACCCAACTCCATTCTTCTTTCTTCTCATCTTCTTAAGGCTACACGATTCCAATGGAAGAATCTCTTTTTGAAACATATTTATAAGTACTAACACACATATACTTTTAAGTGTAAAATAATATTACAATAATAATAATAATAGTAACAAGGTATTTGCAACATATGGGCCACAAATCAAGAACCTAATCGTAAAGTTTACTCTTTGATCTCTAAGTAGAGATACTGTTAACAATACACAAAAGATAAATCCTATGTTAAAGTGTGTCTTTCATATTCAGATCACTCAGCTAAGCATTTGCATAAAAGCTTATTTGGATCTTCATACTATCGCTTTAATAATATTTGAAGGGGTAATTGATCAAATCTTGGAAAATGAAAATATATACTGGAGACATAATCAAAATAGGTTCTTTCTTTCTTTTTTCTTTCTATTACAGGTATATTTTTAGGGAAATAGTGAAAGGTTGAATAAATACTTGGGGAGAGGGAAGGGTGCAATGCAATATGGAGGCAAGATTATGTTCTTGCCATAAAACTCAATAGACTCTTAATTGCTTGCTCTTTTCATTATTTACTCCAGAGATTTTCAAAGTGTGGTCTTGGGACTTGTGGGAATCTCTGAGATCACTTCAGATATGCAAGGTAAAAACTATCTTCATAAGAATAGTGATACTTTTTTGCCTTTTTCTCTCTCATTCTTTCATGAGTTTACAGTGTTTTCCAGAAGCCACATGACAAATGATACTGTATTAGATTGAATGTAAAAACAGTATGAGAATCAAGCTTTTATCAAGCCAGACTTTGAAGAAATTAACAACACTGTAACTTTCTCTTCTTACTAATATTTTTTGGGGGGCAGGAGGTTAGAATGTAAAGCTACTTTTCATAAAAAGATGTTTTTAGCATGTAATAGGTTTACTTTGTTATTTTAATAGAACTAGTAAATAAAAAGTTTTCAAATGATTTATCTTATATAATTTTATTTATTATGTCTGTTTTAATTCCAGCATGATAAATATTAATATATATTACCCAAATAAGCAAAAGGTATGTGGGGTCCACAGTAATTTTTAAAAGTGTAAATGGGTTCTGAGACCAAATACTTTCAGAACCTCTGATTTATACTTTACCCTGGTGATCTCATTCAAACTCATATGTTATAGGTTGAATTGTCTAATTAGAGTGAGGTCATACTGGAGTGGGTTGGACCCCTAATCCAATATGACTGGTGTGCTAATAAAAAGAATACCATGTGAAGAGACAGACATGCACACAGGGATAATGGCACGTGAAGATTGAAGTTATGCTGCTATAAACAAAGGAACTACCAGAAGGTAGGAGAGAGGCTGGAACAAATCCTTCCCTAGCATCTTCAGAAAGAGCATGGCCCTTCCTACACCTTGATTTCAGACTCCTCTTCTCTAGAACTATGAAACAATAAATTTCTATTATTCTAAGCTACCTAGTTTGTGGTACTTTGTTACAGAAGCCCTAGCAAACTAATATACCCTAACTTTAATCATCAAAAACCAATGATTTTCAAGTCTGTCTGTCTAGTCCAAACCTCGTTCCTAAGTTTCATATGCAAATGATATACAATGGCTACTTAGACATTTCCCATCTTTCCAAAAGGTCTGAAAATGAAACATGTTCAAAATGACACTAATCATTGTAACCTTCCTGATGGAATCTGCTCTATTCCTGAATTTTTTTTCTTTATGAAGGGTATCACCTTCTTTAATGCCTCCTTTCCTCAATTCCCACATCTATTCAATCATCAGGGTCAGTCAGTTCTACCATTTAATACCCCTCTGGTAATGGTTGATTTTATGTGTCAACTTGGCTGGGCCACAGTGCCTAGATAATTATTCAAACATTATTCTGGATGTTTCTGTGAGGGTGTTTTTTGGATGAGATTAACATTTAAATCAGTGATTAATATAACATAATAAAATAAAACTAAAAAAAGAGAAATAAAAACTAGAATTAAAAAAACAAATCTGGATTATGAGTAAAGCAGATTGCTCTCCATGATGTGGGTGGGCCTCATCTAATCAGTTGAAGGCATGAATAGATAAAAAGGCTGACATCCCCCGAGTGAGAAGAAATTCTGCAAGCCAACTATCTTCAGACTGGCTCTTCCCTGGGTCCATCCTGACACCCTACTCTGCAGGTTTTGGATTTGCCGGCTTCCATAATCACGAGTCAATTCCTTTAAATAAATCCGTTTCTATATATCCACATCCTATAGAACTCATATATACCTCTTATTGGTAACTTCTCTAACCTCACTATCACTGCATTAATTCAAGCCACCATCATCTCTTGTCAGGACTATGATAATAACTTTATAACTTCTGTTGTCACAGGCTCTTCACTTTACGATCCATTCTCTATGCTTCTGTCAAAATGATCTTTCTAAGAAATCTATGTGAGCACATCACTTTCCCATTTATAAATACTCATGGGCTTCCCATAGCTTTCAGGGTAAAGCCCTTAGCACAGCCAGGAGAATGCACAATCTGTCCCCTACTTCTCCCATACTCTTATCTCACTAATGGTCCATGCACAAAAGGGAGTAATCTAGTACTGTTCTACTGACTCCATCACCTTTTAAGTAAGAACTTCCTACAAATACCCATTGCCATGCATATTCCAGTGCTTTTCGTAATTGAGTATCTTCAGTCAGGACCAATTCTTTTGATCCTAATTATGAAGTCTGTTTGCTAAATTATGTTGATGCTACTCTTTTTAGTCTTGGTTGTTAACTTATTTTCTTCTTTTAGAATGATGTTATATTTATTTCCTGGGTAGAAAAGATAAACTATAGTGGATTCCTAAAAATTTTTATATATTTTAAAGGTATAAAGAATAAACTTAATGGTATTAGATATCATTTCATAAAGTTAGCCATTATGACACATTACTACAGAATAATTGATAATGGTTAATAATTATAAGTTATAATCAAAATAATTAATAATTAAATCAGGCCACAGACTGCCTAGATTCTACCTCTTACTGTCTTTATGAACTTGAGTAAGTTACTTAACTTCTCCATGCCTCAGTTTCCTCATCTTAAAATGAGATAGTAGCCCTTTCCTAATAGGGTTTTATGAAGATTAAATGTGTTTATATATGTCAAACTCCTACAACAGTTCCTGGTACACAGTAAGTGCTACACATTAGTAACTGCTGTTAGTTATTATTATTTGACAACAGCATTTATAAGTGCAAAGATTCTCTAGCCAGACTACTTGATTCTAATCTTGATGTTGTACTTTGTATTTGTGTGATCTTTGGCAAGTTCTTTAATTTCTATGAACCTCAGTTTCCTCACCTGTATGAGGTAATAACAGTATCTACTTCTTATGTTAGGAGGATTAATTGACTTAAAACATGTCAAAGTCTTAGAACAGTGCTTGGCACATGGTCAACATTACACAGTGCTTACAATTTTTACTGTCATTATATTAAGAAATAGGTGACCCATATTAATCATGTTCTCTTGTAACTTGCATTTCTTGTAGCTACAGATTTTGTTTCATTTTTAAATTCTCTACCCCTCAGTGGCAAAGGCTATGCTTTTTCTTAATTTTTCTTAAATTTTCAGAGTGCAGCTACCTGGTGCCAATCACTTTATTTACCCTTCTCTTCTTTAAAAAGAAAACAAAATAAAACCAAAACCCTCACCTTTAATATACAATCACTCTTGTTAACCAAGAAAACAACTTACTTTATACTATGTGGACATACAGCATCTTTGTTCTTAGGCTCACAGTTGAATAAGATGTTTCTATTTTTTTTCATCTTATAATAGTGCTGTCAATATCTATTATGACTTGAAATGTTCAAGGCCCCAAGGAAAACTGTTATTACTGCATTGTCAACAGACATGTGTCAACAAAATGAAATTAGAGCCAGAGGGCTCATCTCCCCTTACCAGTTTTTCTCTTTTCATCTCACCCTCTTCTTTCCTCACCACTGCATCATCCAGAATATAGTATGATATAATTTGATAAAATAAATGAAGGGAAAGAGACTGTTTCAACAATATATTAGCTTGCATTGGTTCTCAAAAATCCTGAGCGCTCAGTGTAGGGTGATAAGAAATAGAGATAATATTATGAGAGAATATGACACAAATAACTAATAATATTGTGAATTTTCTACCAAGAACACAATTATTTACATTATAATCCAAAATCAATTAAGTTCAATTATTTTGTACTTTATATATCTTTAAGAAATTGAAAGTACTTTATACCTTTGTTTATATCAATGAGTTGTTTCTTTTTCTTTTGGCGTTCTAACTTCTCTTGTTCAGCTTTCTCTTTTGCAAGCTTTGCCCTTCTAGTCTTCTCTTCCATTTCTTTTCTCTTGTTGTTTTCTTTCACTGCTTCCTGTATATATAAACAAAGTTAAACACAAATCCTTTCATTACTTATATGTTGTAGAAGCTGTACCATTTTAAAATTGTATATACATACACATGCATGTGGATGCTGAGAATTGGGAAATATTATAGCAGCTTCAAGGTCCATGTATATACTTTTGAGAGAAACAGGTCTAAGACAGACCTTCTTGAAAAGTAATTGGAAATAACTCAGACTTTATTTTTTTACGTTTTTATTTAAAGTCCAATTAGTTAACATACACTGTATATTATTTTCAGGCATACAATATAATGATTCAACCCTTGCATACAACACCCCATGCTCATCTCAGCAAGTGCACTCCTTAATCCCCATCACCTATTTAACCCCCCCCCCACCTTCCTTCCAGCAACCCTCAGATTGTTCTCCATAGTTAAGAGTCTATATCCTGGTTTGCCTCACTCCTTTTATCCCCCTTTCTTCATTTGTTTCATTTCTTAAATTCCACATATGAGTGAAATCATATGGTATTTGTCTTTCTCTGACTGACTTATTTCACTTTACATAATATTCTCTAGTTCTACCCATGTCATTGCAAATGGCAAGATTTCATTCTTTTTGATGGCTAATATTCCATGGTGTGTGTGTATATGTGTGTATGTGTGTGTGTGTGTGTGTGTATATATATATATATATATATATATATATATATATATATATATCACCTCTTCTTTATCCATTCATCAATCAATGGACATTGGGTTGTTTCCATAATTTAGCTATTGTAGATAATGCTGCCATAAACATAGGTTTGTATGTATCCCTTTGAATTAGTATCTTTTTATTCTTTGGGTAAATACCTAGTAGTGCAATTGCTGCATCATAGGGTAATTAGTTCTATTTTTAACTTTCTGAGGAACTTCCATATTGTTTTCCACAGTGGCTGTAGCAGTTTGCATTCTCACCATCAGTGCAAGAGGGTTTCACTTTCTCCACATCCTCGCCAATATCTGCTGTTTCCTGTACTGTTGATTTTAGCCATCCTGACAGGTGTGAGCTGATATCTCATTATAGTTTTGATTTGTATTTCCCTGATGATTAGTGATGTTGGGCATCTTTTCATGTGTCTGTTAGCCATCTGTATGTCTTCTTTGGAAAAATGTCTATTCATGTCTTCTGCCTATTTTTAATTGGATTATTCAGTTTTGGGGTGCTGAGTTTTATAAGGTCTTTTTATATTTTGGATACTAACCCTTTATCAGATAAGTCATTTACAAATATCTTCTCCCATTCCATAGGTTGCCTTTTAGTTTTGTTGACTGTTTTCTTCACTGTGCAGAAGCTTTTTATTTTGATGAAGTCCAAATAGTTTATTTTTGCTTTCATTTCCCTTGCCTCAGGAGACGTATCTAGAAAGAAGTTGCTACAGCTGATGTCAAAGAGGTTACTGCCTGTGTTCTCCTCTAGGGTTTTGATGGTTTCCTATCTCACATTTAGGTCTTTCAACCATTCTGAATTTATTTTTGTGTATGGTGTAAGAAAGTGGTCCAGTTTCATTCTTCTGCATGTTGCTGTCCAGTTTTCCCAACACCATTTGTTGAAGAGACTGTCCTTTTCCCATTGGATATTCTTCCCTGCTTTGTCAAAGATTAGTTGATCATAGAGTTGTGGGTTCATTTCTGGGTTTTCTATTCTGTTCCATTGATCTATGTGTCTGTTTTTGTGCCAGTACCATTATGTTTTGAAGACTACCGCTTTGTAATATAACTTGAAGTCCAGAATTGTAATGCCTCTAGGTTTGCATTTCTTCTTGAAGGTTGCTTTGGCTATTCAGGGTGTTTTGTGGTTCTATACAAATTTTAGGATTGTTTATTCTAGCTCTATAAAAAATGCTGGTGGCATTTTGATAGGGATAACATTAAATGTGTAGATTGCTTTGGGTAGTATAGACATTTTAACAATATTTGTTCTTCCAATCCATGAGCGTGGAATATTTTTCCATTTCTTTGTGTCCTCTTCAACTTCTTTCATCAGTGTCTCATAGTTTTCAGCCTACAGATCTTTCACCTTTTTGGTTAGATTTATGCCTAGGTATATTATTGCTTTGGGTGCAACTGTAAATGGGATTGATTCCTTAGTTTCTCTTTCTGCTGGTTCATTATTGGTGTATAGATATGCAACATATTTCTGTACATTGATTTTTGTATCCTGTAATGTTACTGAATTAGTTTATGGTTCTAGCAATTTTTGGTGGAGTCTTTCAGGTTTTCTATATACAGTATCATGTTATCTGCAAATAGCAAAAGTCTGACTTCTTCCTTGCCAGTTTGGATGCCTTTTCTTTCTTTTTTGTTGTCTGACTGCTGAAGCTAGAACTTCCACTACTATGTTCAATAACAGTGGTTAAAGTGGACATCCCTGTCTTATTCCTGACCATAGAGGAAAAGCTCTCAGTTTTTCCCCATTGAGGATAATATTAGCTGTGGCTTTTCCATATATAGCCTTTATGATGTTGAGGTCTGTTCCTACTAAACCTATTTGTTGACGGTTTTTATCATGAATGGATGTTGTACTTTGTTAAATGCTTTTTCTGCAACTATTGAAAGGATCATATAGTTCTTATCCTATCTTTTTTTTTTAAATTTTTAAAAAATAATTTATTTATTTGTCAGAGAGAAAGAGAGAGCACAAGCAGGGGGAGCAGCAGGGAGAGGGAGAAGCAGGCTCCCCGCTGAGCAAGGAGCCCAACACAGGACTCAATCCCAGGACCCCGGGATCGTGACCTGAAGACTCAATAACAAGAATACATCTACAAGTTTTTTCCTAGAGATATCTATATTGAAAATTGTTTTCTTCATAATAAAAGACACAATACTTTTTAAAAGTTCCGAAAACATTACCAAAAAAATCTCCTGACTTGCAAGAATTATTGATACCGCCCCCTTCTTTTAGCCCCCATCAGGCCAGTAGCTCTAGTATAAGGCTAAGAGCACAAAACGATCTGGCTCCTACAGACAAAATCAAAGACTACCACTTAAAATAAACTGGAATAACAGAACCTTAATTGTAGTGTTTCTCAACCTCAGTACTAGTATCGTTTTTGGCTGGTGTTATTCTTTGCTGTGGGAGCCATCCCGTGCGTTGTTAGATGTTTAGCAGCACCTCTGACCTCTACTCACTAGATGCCAGTAGCACCCCTTCCTGGTCGTGACAACCAAAAATGTCTCCAGAGATTGCCAAATGTGAGGCAGGTGGAGAAATACTAACTTAGGGTGTTTCACAGAGATAATTTATTCATGAAAAAGTACAAACTATCTGCTCTGATGAACCCAGCTTCTTTTCAAACATGTGGAAACTCAGTTTCAAATGAGTTTAAATAATGGCTTAAGGTCACACATTTATGTAATTGCATATCTGGGAATAGAAGTCATGTCTCTTTACTCCTGGTTGAATGTTTGTTTTATTCTTCAAGGAAGAAAAGACAATGTGGATATGACACCAAAAGTACAAGCAACCAAAGGAAAAAACAGATTAGTAAGACTTCATTGAAACTGAAAACTTTTTATCCATCAAAGGACCCTGTCGAGAAAGTGAAGAAATAATCCACAGAATGGGAGAAAATATTTGTAAGTCATATATCTGATAAGGATATGTAAAAGGTCTTGTAACTCAACAATAAAAAGACAACCTAATTAAAAATGGGCAAAGGATTTGAATATTTACTTATTCAAAGATATATATTATATTTATATATATCAGTATTTATTCAACTATATATATATATATATATATATACACATATATATCTCCAATAAAAACACAAAAAGATGTTAGACATTGTTAATCCTTAGTGAACTGAAAATCAAAACCACAATGAGGTACCACTTCATGCCCTCTAGGACTGCTACAATTAAAAATAAAGGAAGGAAGGGAAAAACCCAGATAATAACAAGTGAGGATTGGAGAAATTGGAACTCTTTGCATTGCTGGCATGAATGTAAATGGTGAGTCATTTTGGAAAATAGTCTGGCTGTTCCTCAAAATGCTAAACATACAGTTACAATATGACCCAGCAATTCTACTCCTAGATATATATCCAAGAGAAAAAAGAACACACGTTTATACAAAAGGTTGCAGAAGAATGTTCATAGCAGCATTACTCCTAATAGCCAATAAGGAGAAACAACCCAAATGTCCATCAATTGATAAGTGGATAAACAAAATGTGGTATATATCCATATAATGGAATGCATTCAACCATAAAAAGAATGAAGTACTGATATATGCTACAACATGGATGAACCTTAAAATATTCTGCTAAGTGAAAGAAGTCAGACACAAAAGGCCACATATAGTATGGTACTGTCCAGAACAGGCAAATTCATACAGAAAGAAAGTAGATTAGTGATTGCCAGGGGATGGGAGAGGGGAGAATGGGGAGTACCTGTTGATGAGTATAAGAATTCTTTTCGGGGGTAATGAAAATGTTCTGGAAGTAGATAGTGGGGATGGTGGAACAACCTTCTGAATATATTAAAAAAACACTAAATTGTATACATCAAAATGGTAAATTTTATATGTAAACTTATATGTAAATTATATATTAATAAAAATAAAATAAAATAAAGATGTTTGAGAAAGACAGGATTTAAATAAAATTACAACTTAGAAAAAAAGACAATGTGAAAAGGCAATACTTATTCAGGCTCTGATATAACAAGTTGTATGATCTTTGGTAAATAACCTAAGAGGAGGTAAATAGTAGGGGACAGAAGGGAGGTTAATGCTTATGTATATTTTATTACTGGTCAAATCTCTGATCTAGTAAATAGTTACCAACATCTGGGTGGACTCTTCTATTATCAATCTAAAGGGCTATTTTGCTGCTGAGTGCTGTCATTTATTATAAAGATGAAAACACTGGTAACTTGCGTTTGTAGTTTTTCCTTGTTCTGATAATAACAGCTATTTGTCAATGGAAATTTATTATGTGCCAGATGTTTTAAGTAAGTAATTTTGAATCTTTA